TCAGGTTAGGACAGAGTGCCACAAAGCTCCTCCTTCAGGTCAGGACAGAGTGCACCACAGCACCATCTTCAGGCTTGAAGAAAGTGCCACACAGCACCTCTTTCAGGTTAGAACAGTGTCTCACAGTGCGCCCCTCTCCAATCCCGGCACCCCTCTACACCCCAGCACCCTCTCCATCCAGGCACCCCTCTCCACCCCAGCACCCTCTCCATCCAGGCACCCCTCTCGACCTCAGCACCCTCTCCATCCAGGCACCCCTCTCGACCTCAGCACCCCTCTCCACCCAGGCACCCTCTCCATCCCGGCACCCCTCTCCACCCAAGCACCCTCTCCACCACAGGACCCCTCTCCACCCCAGCATCCCTCTCCACCCCAGCACCCGTCTCCATCCTAGCACCCGTCTCCATCCCGGCACCCCTCTCCACCCCAGCACCCTCTCCACCACAGGACTTCTCTTCACCCCAGCATCCCTCTCCACCCCATCACCCGTCTCCATCCCGGCACCCCTCTCCACCCCAGCACCAATTTTGACCTCAGCACCCCTCTCCACCTCAGCACCCCTCTCGACCTCAGCACCCTCTCTATCCCGGCACCCCTCTCCACCCCAGCACCCTCTCCATCCCGGCACCCCTCTCCACCCCAGCACCCTCTCCACCACAGGACCCCTCTCCACCCCAGCATCCCTCTCCACCACAGGACCCCTCTCCACCCCAGCATCCCTCTCCACCCCATCACCCATCTCCATCCTGGCACCCCTCTCCACCCCAGCACCAATTTTGACCTCATCACCCCTCTCCACCCCAGCACCCGTCTCCATCCCGGCACCCCTCTCGACCTCAGCACCCCTCTCCACCCTAGCACCCTCTCCATCCCGGATCAGAACCAGCTGAGCCCATCAGAACCAGCTGACCCCCCTCATCCTGTTCATATGAGCTGAGAAGAATCTAAGGTTCTCCAGGTTTCACTTGGTCAGAGGTTTCTGATCCGTCAGAGGTCGACTCGCCAGGCGCTGATGGACCACAGTCTCGGCTGAATTTCTCCCTCTGAGGCAGCAGGAGGTGATGAAAGGGTTCTGACTCATCACCCCACCCCCACCCCACCCCCATTCGGCTACATTTCTCCTGCTGTTTTTGGATCAGAACCACCTGATTGTAGATCATGTCTGTATAGTAATGATTCTGATGCTTTTAAAGCAGGTTCTGCTCTGTGGTCCTGATGGTTCTGATCAGCGGATCGCTAACAGGATCAGAAGGTGAGGATGCTGCTTGTTACCATGGGAGTGTGTCTCCATGGTAACCAGTTTTAACACAGAATCAATGTGTTACCTAAGTGGTGCTGAGCTAGAGGACAGGAAATGATCTGAAGTCAGTGGAGCGTGTCACAGCTCAGAGTGTGTTGCCATGGAGACCTTTACAGGAGGCTGGAGGCGAGGAGTCGTGGTGACGGATCAGAGGACAGAGAAGTGATACAGACACAGCTCTGTAGATCGGACCATTTTGAGGTGGTTCTGGATCATCTGGTCCTGATCAACTAAACCGAACCCACTGTGGCTGTTTGCAATGTTGGTGCTGATCTAAACGGCCCGACCCAGAAACCTGCATCCCTGTCATCATGGCAACAGAGGACATTATTCTCATGTCTCCATGAGACGGCTGTCAGTCAGATGTGGCAGTCTGTAGTACCCCAAATACCTGGGTGTTCACGTCAATAATAAACTGGACTCAAGACACCGACGCCCTGTATAAGAAGGGCCAGAGCCGCCTCCCTCCACCTCCTGAGGAGGCTGAGCTCCTTTAGAGTGAGTAGGCCCCTGCTTCAATCCTTCTCTGACTCTGTGGTGGCATCAGCCCTCCTCGTCTGCTGGGCCCCTGGCAGCGCAGAGCGGGACAGAAAGAGACTGAACAAACTGTCCGTTTCTGTCCTAGGCTGCACTCTGGACTCAGTGGCTGAGAGGAGGCTGCTGTCCAAGCTTCATCCATCATGGACACCACCTTCCACCCTCTGCAGCGGACTGGAGAGGAGCTGAGCAGCTCCTTTAGTCAAAGACTTTTACAGCCTGTTAGGAAAAAGGAGCGCCACCAGCAGGTCATTCATCCCTGCTTGCAACCAGACTCTACAATTAATGTACAACACCAAATCCAAATGTTTATAAGTCATCTTAAACCTCTGCCTTATTGCATTTTTTTTATTTTCTCGATCCACTGTATATATGTGGGTGCACTGTATATACCCCAATCACCTTTTCCTCCTTTTGGCAAATTCTTTTAACGAGCTGATGTGACAAGTGAATTTCTCCAATGTGAGATCAATAAAGTCTATTTTGTCTTATCTTATCTTACTTCTCTTACTTATCATACTTATCTTATCTTTTCTTATTTACTTAACTTATCTTACTTGTCTTATTTTATCATCGTGACACCAGGATCCCGATTGATCCTGAAGGTGAAGATGGCTAACATCAGTAAGAACCCTCGCTGATCCATTGATACCTCAGGTTCTGGATTTAGAGGTTCAATTCAATTCTATTCAGTTTATTTCTATAGCTCCAATTCACACCATGTCATCTCAGGTCACTTTCCAGTTCACCAGATCATCCAGTCAGATTGATTCAAAGTTTTCTATCTAAGGAAAACCAGCTGATTGCATCGACTTATTGACCAAGCAATCCCTCACACTAAGAATGCTTGTAGCGACAGTGGAGA